CCTATGGAGGAGGGGAAGTGATCCACAAGATCTCCTTCCTGGTGAGCGAAGAACTGCCATTTGATATGTTACTAGGCATGTACTACTTTGAAGTCTCGCAACCTCAGTTCGACTGGGATAGAAAGGTGTTGATCCACAAATTGCCTAATGGTAGAACTGTTAGATTGCAGAAGTATAAAGCTAGCAGACTAATAGAAAACTATGGGTGTATGTCCGCTTCATCATTCTATAACTACTATAAGCAGAATCAAGAGGAGGGCATGTATCTAGTCTTTGTCTCTGAAAAAGGGGAGGCCGTTAAAACAACCCCAGAGATAGAAAGAGTCGTCGCACAATATCCAGACCTTTTTGAGAAGCCCACAGGCGTGGTGGAAAGGGAGGTTGTCCATGCAATAGAGGTTGTCCCAGGTAGCGAGGTGCCTAGAGGACAAATCTATAGGATGTCTCCTGCAGAGGAGCTCACAGAGACGGGATGGATACGGCCGAGTACCTCCCCTTACGGAGCGCCAGTCTTATTTGTCCCAAAGACGGGAGGTCCATTAAGGATGTGCATTGACTATAGGGGCCTCAATGCCACCACCGTTAAGAACGCGGAGCCCCTACCCCGCATTGAGGACCTCTTGGATAGAGTGCAAGGATGTCGATCCTTCACAAAGATAGATCTGAAGTCCGGATACCATCAAATTGCCGTTAGACCTGAGGACCAGCACAAAACCGCATTTCAGACCATGTACGGTCTGTACGAGTTTGTGGTGATGCCTTTTGGCCTATGCAATGCGCCTGGTACGTTCCAGCACGCGATGAATAGGATTTTTCACGACTACTTCGACAAGTTTATCGTCGTGTACCTCGACGATATTCTCATCTTTAGTAGGACTGTAGACGAGCACGCTGAGCACTTTAAAACAGTGCTAGGTCTCCTAAGACAGCACCAGTACAAGGTAAACTTGGATAAATGCGAGTTTGGTCGCACCAAGATCTTGTACTTGGGTCATGAAATTTCAGCAGATGGATTGAGGCCGGAAGATGCGAAGGTGGCCAGCATACGGGATTGGCCCAGACCTCAGACTATTACTGAGGTCGGATCGTTTTGGGGGATGACGGGCTATTATCGTCCGTTTGTAAAGAACTATAGTACTATAGCTTCCCCTTTAACAGATCTAACTCGACTTGTTACCCCTTGGGAGTGGACTGAAGAGTGTGAAGCAAACTTCAAGAAATTGAAGTATGCTTTGACACACTACGAAGTTCTCAAACTTACGGATCCTGACAAGCCATTCATTGCGATCACAGACGCTAGACAATATGGCATAGGCGCGAACCTTGCGCAACAGGAGGGGCCAAAGTTGAGACCGATTGAGTACATGAGTAAAAAGATGCCTTCTCAAAAGTTAGCTAAGTCCACTAATGAGAGAGAGCTCTACGCCCTGTATAGAGCGCTAGTTCATTGGAGACAGTACCTCCTAGGAAGATTCTTCTATGTGAGGTCTGACCATGAGACTTTGCATTGGATTAAGACACAGCCTGTGTTGTCAGACGCACTCAAGAGATGGATTCAAGTGATAGACATGTACGACTATCAACTTGATCCTATCAAGGGTACGTACAACAAGGTGGCTGATGCGCTATCAAGAAGGGCAGATTATCTGGGGGCGCTAATCACTAAGTTTGGCATATCTGACGAACTCACTCGATCGCTGGTGGAAGCATATCAGGGAGACCCAGTCATGTCAGAAATCATCCGTAGATTCCAAGCAAAGGACAAGAAGAGTTTGGATGAATTTACGATGGTAGATGGATTGTTGTTCCTTGAGAAGGCAGGGAATAAAAGATTATGTGTAGCTAGTAGTGAGTCTTTGCGAAGTTTATTTTTAAGAGAATGTCATGATGCAACTGGTCATTTTGGCTATAGAAAGACATCAACGAACTTAGTGCAAAGATTTTGATGGCCTTCTATGTTGGAAGATGCAAAACGTTATGTTGAAAGTGCAGAGATTTTGGTGGCCTTCTATGTTGGAAGATGCAAAACGTTATGTTAAAAGTGCAAAGATTTTGGTGGCCTTCTATGTTGGAAGATGCAAAACGTTATGTTGAAACCTGTCAGGTTTGTCAAAGAGACAAACCAAGAATTCAGGCTACGCTTGGGTTAATCAAACCCTTGCCGATCCCTGAAGGACCAGGCCAGAGTGTGTCCATGGATTTCATGGATACCCTTGTGACCAGCAGGTCAGGAAAGAGACACATCTTTGACATAGTGGACCATTTTACTAAGTACGCCAGACTGATCGCTATGCCTGAAACTGTTAAAACTGACTTTGTCATCAAACTCTTCATGGATAACTGGGTAAGGGATTCTGGTTTGCCATCTATTGTTAGTGATAGGGATGTCTGATTCACGAGCGAACTGTGGCAGTCTACTGTTGAACATATGGGCACAAAACTCCAAATGACGTCAGGAAATCATCCTGAGTCAAATGGTCAAGCGGAACAAATAAACTAAGTGGTACAGCAATTGCTTAGGCACTATATCAAGCCAAGTTAGGACGACTGGGACGAGAAACTACCTCTCGTTGCCAGCCTGTACAGCAACGCTGTGCATAATACTACAGGCATGACTCCCAACCAATTGCATCTTGGTTGGAAGCCTCAAACCGCCCTTGACTTTCTGCTACCAGAAAGAGAACCTACTGCAGCACCCGACAGCATAGAGTTTGCTGTCAAGTATGAACAGATGTTGTAGCAGGCAGTTGAACATATCAGGAAATCTCAGGAAGCAATGATTGCATCTGAGAATAAGCATAGACGGCCTTCTAACTTTCAGATAGGCGAGAGTCTGGATCAAGTCCGCTGAGCTTGGGCAGGAGTTAGGCATATCTCGTAAGCTAATGCCACAGTACTTTGGGCCCTGGGAAATCTTGGATATTGTAGGGGATCAACCAGATGGGCCTTCGTACGTGATCCGTATTCCTGCACACTTACGCACCAACCCTGTGTTCCATGCCTCTAAGTTAGCACCTTTTGCTGCTACTGAGCAGTTCCCTTCCAGAAGATCAATGCTGCCCCCAACCATGGATGGCGAAGTGGATATTGACCAGATCGTCGAGCCATCGAGTGATGCCTGTTCCACGACCATCAGGCAGAGGGCGATCTCCTAAGCCGAGAATGCAGTATCGTGTGAGCTTCAGACATCATCTGGATCCTAAAGAAGACCGGTGGTTCACACGAGAAGAACTCATGAGAACAACACCTCAAGTGATCGCAGGCTATGAAAGAGCACTCAAGGGGAATACGCCTGCAGAATAAGAGACTTCTCAGAGGACTCACGAAGTAAAGGAGGAGGGAATGTGAGGATCAGGGTCCTCGGTAGGCCTATGCGGCCCTGTTTGCAGCATTACCCGCCCTAAGTGAAGGCGAAGGTGCCCGGCCTAAGTGAAGGCGGGCCTGTCTTTTTGCAAAAGGCCCTCGACTGTCAATTTCATATTTGGGGTCCAGGCAGTTGCGACGTGCTAGTTGGTTGAGAGAAACACAAGCCGAGCAACAAAGACATTTCCACGGCCCTCCAGGCCTTTCCAAAGAATGCAGGCCCTGGGCATGCTTCGCAGCCTCATACAAAGACAGTTGCGCCCCTAATCGAACGAGGCCAAGCAGCCCAGTAGCTGCTGTACGCAGGCAGCCTCCTGGGGCCTTCCGAAAGCTTTTGGGCCCAGGCCAGTGTAGCCAGGCTGCGAGGGCAGGCCAACTCTTTCCATAAAGGAAAGAGCTCGACCTTGGCTGCCTCATTCAGGCACTCGCATGCTAGCGGCAGCGCTGCTGGAGCAAAGGCTCGCGGCTGCTGGCTGGCGCTGAGAGGCGAGGTGCAGCACGTGCGGTCGTGCAGAGGAGCAGAGCGCCGCTGAGGGCAGCGCTATAGCCCAGCCACCATAGCTGGTGGGCTTGGACTACAGTGAAGCGCAAGGGTGGTCTTCGGTTCAAGGAGAGGACAGTGGTGGGTGTAGTCAGGGGATAGGTGAAGGATGATGATGATGATGATGATGATGATGTGAGGGCACTTACCTTGTATTTGCGATGGTCTGCATGGGCAACATCTTCAAGTACTTCGGGCTGCCGCTGATGTCAACAGTTGCATTGTCTTTTTGTAGTTTGTATTAGCTATGTAGGAGCAGGCTGGGCGTTGAGCGCCAAGTGTGAATGTGAAGGAACTGAACTCTTGTGTTGAGGGGAGAGAGTTTGCTCTCCATGAACATCGGTTTTCAATGCTACGAACTTCCATTGGTGTATTATTGGTGCAATGCTGCTCTCTGGACACAATGTGACTATCAGGCTTTCAATGTGATCGTGTGAACTGGAATTGTCATCTCGCTGTTGCTTATTTTCCTTGCACAATCTTCACTATGGTGTAAATCGCTAGTTCAATCTTGGTTCATTCTAGTGTTTTTGTGATGTTGTGCTCATGCATTGTCCATTTTTCTAGTCTA